GGCTAAAACCAACAGTACCGTTCTCTTATTAAATTCTTTACTAAAATAAGACAGTAAAGTATAAAAACAAGTGATTAAATTTGCTCTACTATAACATTTTTGGTCTTCTAAAAATATATATATATAACAAAATCATCTGAAAAAGTTCAGACATGGGACAGAGGCACACCCTGACCATAGAGAACAACCCCTTTCCTCCATAGGAAACCTGTGTATGTTTCACACAGGCCCTTTGTTTATGGTAACACACATAGCTGCACATTGCTGTGTCTTCCAGACACACTTGTATGGGAGGTGCTAGGGCAGTGCAAAACATGGGTAACCAGTAGTTACCACTAGCACTTCCGTTACTGGCAAAAAACAGCCGCAGTGCACATAGTGTGAAAGAGCCCATTATCAATGTCAGATTGCATCCACTGCACTCTATAAAAACAACCAAGTGCCACTTTTAAATGCCCATTGCAAGAGTTTTTCTTATTAAAAGCTGGAAATGGCAGGATATTTATATATATACCCCTACTGTGACAGCCTGGCAGAGCATTACAAAGGAGAAAACCCAGCATCTGATGATGTCCATAAGTACAAGACTTCAGGCTGTCATTACCAGGAAAGGGTTTCATCCAAGTATTAGATATGAACATTTGATTTTCAGCTTTTCATTTGTCCAATTACTTCTGAAACCCTGAAATTAAGCGATTTTGTAATAAAATCTTTAGTTCATCACATTTCTATACAATCTTTTTGTTCAACCCACTGAATTAGGGTTCGTTCACACTAGCCGTGCTGCCGTTGCAGTGTGGTGCAGTACTGCAATGCAGCGCATCTAGGGTTAATGCAGGGTACACAGGTTTCCATCATGTTTGCGTTGATGCTAATGTGCAGTGGTGCATGTTAACACAAATGCCCTGTAGCACGCATTTTTACAGCTGAAAGTCTTTGTTGTTTTATTAACAAGTCATTGTGATGTACAGAATGTGGGAACAGGAAAAAACTGTGTTTGAGTAGAGCTCTTAATCTTACCTCAGAAAGGCTCTGATACTGTGCTCTCCAGGGGCGTGTCTCCCTACATCACCAAGATAATGTGTCTACGCATTCCCAGGGTGATGTCGGGAGAGGCGTCCGCAGGCATTACAAGGAGCCTTTGGAAGATTGAGAGGTTGTTCCTTCTACTGAATGGACGGATATAAATCCGCCCACTCAGAAGGAGGAGTTGCGGCCCTATTTCCGACGTTGCCATGTTAACACTGCTGCTGGTGAAGGAGTGGAGGGGAGAGCAAGAGAACCAACCCTCTGCTCTTTCGGCTCCGCAGGAAGGATAGAACAGCCGAATGGGCCGGATCTGGCCCGCGGGCCGTATTTTGCCCAGGCCTGGTCTAGGCCCATAGGTTTGGTCCTTGCTGCTGCCTCCTCTGCAGGGTCCAGATGCAGGGTGTGGCAAGAAAGGTGGGGTGAGCTGTATCCTGAGGGCAGGGTATTTGCCTTTTTCCCTGGCTTTGGCTGCTGGGAGGGGCCTGTGCCTCTTAGGAAAAATGAACTGATGCGGTATTGGTCGGGGGAGACATTAGATCACACGTCTCCCAGCTGCCACTGTTCCATGTCTACCCCAGTGCTTCCTACCCAAGTCTCTCCTCAGTTAACTCCAGTCCAAAGCATCCTCCTTCCACCAAAGCCTCAGTTGAGTGGCTACATATGAAAATCCTGTGCTCTGAGATTTTTTTTTAAAATGTGGCTTTATCTCCTACAGGCCATAAGCTCCAAGCCTTTCACAGCTGAATATTACGTGGGCCACTGTTCTCAGCTCTGGTGCTCTGGGTAGGGGTGTCCAGCCAAAGGTCCGGGCCTTGATCCTCTGAGGGGAACCCCTCATTCTCAGCCTATTGCCCTTGGAAGCTGGGCCAGCCCTCTTTTGACCCTTACCTTTCCTTTCAGTCTCCAGATGGTTTCTGCCCTTCCTTGTTAAATGTCTCCTCTTCAATCCTCAATTGGTAATGCCAGGTGAATGTTCCCCAATTTAGTTTTATATCCAGTCTGACTCTGGAAGGAAGTGCAGAAAAGGTCCACCTACTCTGCCGCCATATTGCAATCCATATATGACTATTATTATTTTCCTAAATTTCCCATTCTATTGATAAAAATGATATCCAGTTTGTCAGTGTTCTTTAAGAATGGTACTTAAAATGGAACATAGTAATTTATGTGTGATTGGTCAATTGAGAATGAGCATCATTCTTGTATGTCTTTTATTATATATGTATTTGTCTATCACTATACTTGAAGTAGCATTTGGGAGGTACAGTAATACTTATGACTAATTTAGCATAATGCCACATGTCAAATAGGTTGCTGTTAGATCAACTTTCAACTTTTTAAAGTATTATAAGTATTTCTCTTTCAGACTTTTTAACATTGATTATTTCATTTCAGCATTTACATTTTATTTCTTAAAATTTATACTTAAATTTTGTCTTTTAAGTATTATCACTTTTAAGAGCTAAACCCATTTTTTGTAGGAATTTTTCCTGAATCCCACCCAGGAGTCATAGTCTCTATTTTGCTCTGTTATTCTAGATTTGAAATCACCTTTTTCCATTAAAAAATTTACATTTCTCTTTGCAAATTTAATTCTTACAAAGCAACTGTGTTCACTTATCTGTAGTTTAGAAATTTTTATCAAATTAGTTTTAGATTAAACAACGACAATTTTTAGAGTAGCTATGCTTTCTTGCTAGTTGAATGTTTGGTATTACTTTATTTTATTGTTATAAATAACCATCCACCTTATTAGTTATTGTGTCTTTTTTTCTTCTTTCAGCTGGTTGGTGGAGAATTTGACTTGGAGATGAATTTTATTATCCAGGATGCTGAGAGTATAACGTGCATGACAGAGCTTTTGGAGCACTGTGATGTAACATGTCAAGCAGAAATATGGAGCATGTTTACAGCCATTTTACGAAAAAGTGTTCGGAATTTACAGACTAGCACGGAAGTTGGGCTAATTGAACAAGTATTGCTGAAAATGAGTGCTGTAGATGACATGATAGCAGGTATGAGGTTATCTGACAGGAAAATATAGTTTAAATGTTTGTAGAGATTTATATTCTATAGGTAATATAAATATGTTGAAGCTACCTTGATTTAAAATACATACATAGAAATGTATGGAAAATTTGCTTTTTATATTATGGGAAAATCTGGCAAATGTAGGATGACTTCTTCCGTATTAGACAAACATAATTACTAATTTTGCTTTTCCAGGTTTTAGAAAATCTAAATAATATGAATAAATGCTATGAAATCTACCAGAAAACTAAGCAATACTTTCTATGTAGTATTTAATAAAACTTTTACATAATTAAAAGATACAATACATATTATATTTCTGTATAATGGGCACTTTATCAAATTCTTGGAACTCTGTGCTCTTTAATTTGACATATATGGAACTATGAGAGGAGCAACTAAAAATTTTAGGATAAACTTGATTTTTGGAGGTGTTCATTTTACTAGGCAATTTTTGAAGAAATACTTGTAGAAAATAAACAGATATATTAAGGAATAGAATATAAAATTAGCATGAAATTTCAAGATAAAATATTAATTATTGTACTTTTATTGTGTTATTTTAAATAATAATTTTGAAGTCTTTATTCTTCACCACAAGTTCTTTACCTCCCTGCAAGTTCATTCCCCTTTGGGTTAGATGCACTGAAATATAAATAGTTGAAAAGTTAGTCCCAGAGTAACAGTCATTCTCAAAAAATAAATGTAGAGTTTGAAGTTTTGATTCTCTGAATCCATGAACCTTGAGCATAAGTTTCTTCTGACATGAAAGGAGTTTTATAATTCTAAAAGTGACAGTGTGATTCCACAATATCATATCTGATCCTTAAAAGTAGTTCAGACACTAGAGAATTCACTATGCTATTTTGATTTATGCTTTAATTAATACTAATAGAGCAAAACATTAATCAAAATAGAGTGGAATGAAGAATAGGTTAAAGATGAATGCTTTTTAATTTTAAACAGTATTTTAAAATTTTCGTCTTAAAGAATACATTAAAATCATTTTTAATTGCTTTCATGGTGGTATCTACTTATTTAGAATGATTTAGTATTCTTTATATTATTTACTAATGATTCATTTGAAGAAAAATTAGATCCTAACAAAACACCTTTTTAAGGTAGATGTACCATTTGTGTAAATTCTCGCATCGTTTAAAGAAACTTATTTTTATAAAGTTATATGTACATGTTTTATTGAAGATTGTGTGATCTTTGAATACTTTATCTGGATTTAATCTGTTAATTTTTTTCTCGGTAAATAATAAAGTGTCTACCACTTTATAGAGTGCATGTTTCAAAATGTGCCACATTTACATACATAGTGGTTACAGGCAGATAATTGATGAGCATTCAGATGTAAGGTGATAGTAAGTGTGATAGTACCACAGAAAATTCATATCTTCACAAATTTCTGTTATATAAAGCCTCCTAATTCTTATAGTCTTGGCTTTAAATAATAATATGATAACAAATTTCACTTTTTGTTGTATTAAGCATTGAATAAGTGTGAGGAAAATACCTCTGCCCCTTACTTTTCAGTAGAGAAATTAAAATTTAGGCAATACACTAATGAAGTATCAGTAACCACCAAAAACCTACTAAATTTTAACTCTGAATACTTTGTAGCATAAGTTCAAAGATATACATTTTATTTAATAATGTGAAGGTATCACTAGAAGGTGGAGTAAATTGATAGGAGAATTTCATAGTTTTGGTATTTTTTTCTCCCTTAAAAATCTTGTACAGAAAAGAATACTGGTTATGTAATTAAACTGAGCTACTTTGTGATATGTACTATAAATAAAAAATTTTAGTAATTATAAAATTGAATACAAACTTAATAGATCACTTTTTATGGCATACATAGGAGATGAGAGAAAGGGAAATTACATATTTCAAAAAAGTATTTGTAGGTGAACTTTTAAGAAATCTATGAAGATTAAAGCTGACTTTTAAAAACTGCTTTATATTAACTTAGAGGTGTAAGATGCTTAATTTTTATACAAAATTCTTTCTTAGGAACATATCCTCTGACTAATATGTAGTAACTATTAACATTTTTGTTACTTGAATGATGAAACATTTTATTTTCTTAAAAGATTTCTCTCAAAAATGGCATATTCACTCACAATTTTGTCATAGGGGTTGCTTACTTATTGTGGCATTAAGTGAAAATTAGTCAATTATTTATTGATGAAAACAACCAGTTCAATTTCTATTTTGAAATCATAAATATTTTTAAAGTTTCAAATTCTGGTTATTAACCTGTGGTATTGGATAACCTATATTATATGTCAATAACTAATTATTTCAACTTATCCTAACCTAATCTTTTAAAATTGATGATTAATTTTTTAGAATGTATATGTATATTGATTGTAATCAACTTGTATAGTATCTTTAATTCTTAGGAAGTATGTTAGAAATGAAGAAAATGAAGTAAAAATATTTAGATGCGTAGTTTGCAAAAAAAAACACAATTGATAGAGGTATGACTCACAGTCTAGAGAAGGGAAAGTAATTAGGGACAAGGGATTTAATGCATGTATTTTTTATTATTTGGTGAGCTAGCATGTCTCTTATGTGCACATAAACACATTGACATAATGGCTATGACTAGTAGTGCCTTTAAAGGATACTTCTTTTCAGGGACTGTTGATTGAGAGAGTGAGGTCTCTGAAGCCATACTACCTACATTTGAATCCTCATTTTACCACTTACTAAATAGAGTGTATTGCAGGAAATGTGATTAAGTTATCTGTGCTTCACATTCCTGATTTTTAAAAGGGGATAGTGGTACTTAACTTTTGGCTTGTTGTGAGGATTTGTAAAGTTAATACATGTATATCAGTTGGAATAATGCCAAGCAAGGAGTGAAATACTCAGAATTGTTGTTAATGTGCCAACGAATATTTCAAAAATATTTTCTAAAAGAAAATATTGTGAGCTATCACTTTTTCATTTGAAATAACCAGTTTAAAAAGTTAAGTCAATGTACTTTTGAATATTTTTGCCTACCTTTCCCTGCAAACAGCAGGTTTGTGTGTGTATTCTGGGAACTTATAAAAGTCTATTTTATGTATTTACTAAGAAAACTTAATTAGAATGGTATACTTGATGTGGGAAAATTCTAAAATTTACATATAACTTTTTGTTTTCCTGATGACTTAAAATTAATTAGAATGTCTATTCATGAGGATGTATGTTATATATATATATGTGTGTGTGTGTGTATGTGTGTGTGTGTGTATATATATATATATATATATATATATATATATACTGAAATGACACTTGATAACTTCTTTTCTTTTAAAAAGTATATTATCTTGACAGATGGAAGCTCATGACTAGAGTTCAGAATAACTTTATTTTCCTTTGAAGATCTTCTAGTTGATATGTTGGGGGTTCTTGCCAGCTACAGCATCACTGTCAAGGAGTTGAAGCTTTTGTTCAGCATGCTTCGAGGAGAAAGTGGAATCTGGGTAAGCTGTAGTCAGAGTGAAAAGTATCCAATATCGGTACATTAATATTTAATGTTCAATAATTTGTCTTTAGAGAGCTATGGACTTGAATTTATAATGGAAATTCTTCCTCTTAAAGAGTTACATAAATGATTTAAAATTAATTTTCTCTCTAGTTAGAAAAATAGTTCAGTGGGTAATGTGATATATTAGGTATTTTTACTAAATTTGTACAATGCCTTTATTTTTCTTGTTTCCTCAGCCAAGACATGCAGTAAAATTATTATCAGTTCTTAATCAGATGCCACAAAGACATGGTCCTGATACTTTTTTCAATTTCCCTGGTTGTAGTGCTGCGGTAAGTTTAAAATACACATGTTTATTTTTATTTACATATTTTTAAGTCAGCTCTATTAAGGCATGATTTACATAGAGTAAAATTCACTAATTTAAAAAGTGTAGTTTGTTAATTTTTGAATCGTTTGGTAATCACCACCACAATAATAATTTAGAACATTTCCATTACTCTCCAAATACCCGTGTTTATGTTTGAAGCCAGTACTCTCTTCCCAGTCCCTGTTTCTTATAACCTCTTATTTATTTTTGTGGTTGTTTAACTTTGCCTTTTTTAGAATTTCATATAATTAAAATCATACATTTTGTAGTCTTTATGTCAATCTTCTTTCACTTACCATATGTTTTTGAGATCATTCTTGTGGTAGCTTACCAGTAGTTTATTAATTTCCTTTTTATTCTGAGTAGTTTTACATTTTATGCATGTACCATAGCTTATTTATATATTCACTAGTTGAAGGGCATTTGGGTTTTCAGTTTTTGGCTATTATAAGTAAAATAACAACGAGCATTTGAACATAGGTTTGTGGGAATGCTTTCCTATCTCTTGAGTAAATGCATAAGAGCATAATTGCTGTTTTTTGTGTTTTGGTTGTGTGTGTGTGTGTGTGTGTGTGTGTGTGTGTGTGTGTAAGTGTGTGTTTCATTTCATGAGAATCAGGCACATTGCTTTTTATAGTTGAAAATTTTGCATTTCCACTAGGAATATATGAGAATCCTGGTAGATATGCATCCTGATCATTGTCGTCTTTTTAATTTGAGTCATTTCATTGATTATGTTAGTGGTGCACCTCATTGCAGTTTTTTTTTTTTAATGTATTTTATTGATTTTTTACAGAGAGGAAAGGAGAGAGACAGAGAGCTAGAAACATCGATGAGAGAGAAACATCGATCAGCTGCCTCCTGCACACCTCCCACTGGGGATGCGCCCGCAACCCAGGTACATGCCCTTGACCGGAATCGAACCTGGGACCCTTCAGTCCGCACGCCGACGCTCCCTCCACTGAGCCAAACCGGTTTCGGCTGCAGTTTTTTTTTTTTTTTTTTGTAGTTTTAATTATGTATTGTTCTCATGGCTAATGATGTTGAGCATTTTTTCATGCATTGATTGACCAGTCTTATGTCTTCTTTTGTTCTACTTGTGTTAAAATATTCAATTTATTTTAAAAAATTGGTTTTCCTATCCTAGGGGTAAGGTTCTAGTGTATATTTAGGGTATAGTTAATTTGTCAGATATGTATATGTCAAATAGTTTCTCTTAACCTGTGGCATGTCTTTTTAATTTCATAACATTTTTTATAGTATTCAAGATTTTAATTTTGTTTAATTAAAATTTTTTATGGCATATGCTTTTGTAATAACAGAAAATAAGATCACGACATTTTTTTCTCTTATTATTTCTACTAAGAGCTGTGTTGTTTTAGCTCTTGCATTTAGGCTTATGATCACTTTTGTGCTAATTTTAAAAACATTGTGTGAGGGAGGGAAGGTTGGAGATTAAGTTTTATTTGTGTTATATATTAATATTGAAGTATTTCCTTAACTATTTGTTGAACAAACAGTTCTTTTCACATTTGCTTACCATGGCATTTTTCTCAAAAACTATCTGAACTCCCCATTTTGTTCCTTTGTCCTATATAGCTATCCTTATGCCAGTATCACATTATCTTTATTGTTGTAGCTATATAGTAGTTCTTGAAATCAGGAAGTATAAGTACTGCAAATTTGTTATTTATTTTAAATATAAATTTGGCTATTCTATATTATTTGCATTTTCATATACATTGTGAGTAAAGTTACCAGATTTTATAAAAAGCCTGCTGTGATTTTGATGGTTAAAACTGTAGAACAATTTGGAGATAATAGATCTCTTAGCACTCTTCAGTCTTCTAGCTCATAAACACAGTATATCTTCCCTTTTATTAGGTTTCTTTGACTTTTCAGCGTTTTGTAGTTTTCAGCATACAAGTCTTAAAAGTCTTTTGTTAAATTTATCCATATAATTAATATATATGACTTTTGGCTAGTAAATGGAAATGCTATAGATTATTGATTTCAGAGAGGAAAAGAGAGGGAGAAAGAGTCAGAAACATCAATGATGAGAGTGAATCATTGATTGGCTGCCTCCTGCACACCCCCACTGGGGGTCGAGTCCACAACCTGGGAATGTGCCCTGATCAGGAATTGAATTGTGATGTCCTGGTTCACGGGTTGATGCTCAACAACTGAGCCACGCCAGCTGGGCTCTGAGTTTGGTTCTTTATTTGAAACTAGAGGCCCTGTGCACGAATTTGTGCACCAATGTGGTCGCTGGACCTCACCTGTGGATCAGGCCAAAACAGGCTCTCTGACATCCCCTGAGGGGTCCCAGATTGCGAGGGTACAGGCCAGGCTGAGGGACCCACTGGTGCACCATTGGGTCCGGGGAGAGACACGGGAGGTTGGCCAGCTGGGGAGGGACCGCGGGAGGGCTCCAGGGCATGTCTGGCCTGTCTCACTCAGTCCCCATTGGCTGGACCCCAGCAGCAAGCTAACCTAATGGTTAGCATCTGCCCCCTGGTGGTCAGTGCACGTCATAGTGAGTAGTTGAGCGACCTTAGCCTTTCAATAGCATATTATGCTTTGATTGGTTGAAAGGCAGACCGGTCAACCAGACACTTAGCATATTAGGCTTTTATTATATAGGATTGTTTGTGTATCTATGTATGTGTTTGTGTGTGTTTCTGTTTTATTTTTATTTTTAAAGCAAGCACTTATAAATCTTTGGTACATTGAGATTTTTCCATTGATCATATAATGAATGTTTTCTATGTCTTATGTCACATGCTGGGAGTCTAAATTATATTCCTTATTCTTAAGGAACTCTAATGGGTAGACAGATGTAAAAACATCTAGTTAATAGTAAGCTACTGTAGATTTACTTACTAAGTGCTATGAGAAAACAATGAAAAAAGCAGCCAAGCTAGGGTGAAGTCCAGGAAAGCTTCACAGATAATCCTAGTGTTGAGGGATGCTTGTAATTTTGCTGGAAGAAGTGTTTTGGACAGAAGGGGTATTATATACAGAAAGGGGAGTTGTAACAGAACAGGTGGAGCAGCTGTCATATTTAGGTATACTTTGGAATATGGAATAAGATAGTAGAAATGAATAAGATTGAAAGGGTTTTTTGGAGCCATAGGGTGTTTTAAGATCTTGTATAACCTGAAGAAATTTAAGATTTATTCTATATGCAGAAGATTTTTAATATCAAAGCTATCTTATATTTGAGAAAAAGGTCATTATCCACTCAGCAATATGAAGGATCTGATTGGGGGAACAGATCAGTCATAAAAGCATAATGGATAATTATCTTTTAGGTGATAGGAATTTGTATATCTCATAGGAAGATAAGTAAATCCACTCAGATGTTTGTTCACATCAATTCAAGTAATCAACCACTTTCTCAGTTTTCCTTAGAATGGCTAGATTTTTAAAATTACTATTATCAACAGAATACTATATGATTCCTTTCCTACTTAATGAGTGAGTCTTGGTCCTTTTCAGTCATAAATTTTATTGATGAAGTTTCTTAATAATAAATCTTATGATTTTCCTTCTTTTGTTTCAATATTATGAGCATTAATTACCTCGTAATACTTACATTTCTTCAATATTGATCCCATTAACATTCTCTCACAGAGTTGTTTTTGGATTCAAAGTTTCAATCAACCTCCTTTAATCAAATGAAATATTACTGAAAACCTAACAGATACCACAGAAAACTGAAAATTCTGAGGCATATTAATAAGGGTCTATATATTGGTGAAACTGGAGGAGAACTTCTTGGAGTCTGAAACTTATTATGTAACCTGGAGATGAAACTTCATTCAGCTACTATTAGAAAATGCAATGCTTCTGTAGCCAACAAATAATATTTATAGATTATTTTTTTAAGATACTATTTAACATTTTTATATTTACCATGATTTTATGATATTTATTCCTCCACTATTCTTTTATCTGTAAAATTCATATCTGACCGTGGTTGCTGTCACATTTTCTTTAATTAATACTTTTGTATCTTTTTTCATTGCCCTGTAGGCAATTGCATTGCCTCCTATTGCAAAGTGGCCTTATCAGAATGGCTTTACCCTAAACACTTGGTTTCGTATGGATCCATTAAATAACATTAATGTTGATAAGGATAAACCTTATCTTTATTGGTAAGTAAGATATTTAATTTCAGTACATTTGTCTTAAGTATTTCAATTTTGTAAATATAGTAAATTTAACATTAATATATTAAAGTATATGTTAAAATGATAGACACAATTAAGTCAATTAATTATATATTTAAAAAACTTCTGCTGTTGTCTCCATATTTTTTTCCATTTACAGTTTCCTCCCCACCCCCCATTACATTTAAGAGTCAAGAGTTGCAGACTTTCTCTGTACTGTCATACCAATATAGATCAATTGTGGGTTTCTTAGTGAAGATGTTGGTTTCTGATCAAGGAGAGGGAAAAAAACCAAAACTCCTATTTGATTTCATTCACTTTGCCTTTTTACTTATTTTGTTCCGTGATCATAATCAGGATATGTTTTAAAATATTAATAACAACCCTGTAAAAAATTATAATTAGTTAAGAATAATTATTTGGTAGATAAGTAACAGAATGAGTTGCTCAACCCAATGATGGATTGACCTGACAGGACTGAGAGCTTGGTAATTTTAGTTTACCAGTAATGCACAGTAATACTATGAAACTTCCATTGATTGCCTTCCTACATAGTAGGTATTCTAATTGCTTACAAATATTAACTCATTTAATACAGTCAGTGTTCGGAAATAAGACTGCCTGAGTTTCAGTCCTGTCTTTATTACTTACTTTAATCCTTTGCTTTGGTGTCTTCAACTGTAAAATGAAGATATTAGTAGTACCTATCGCATAGGTTTTAATGAAAGAATAATATTTAAATTGCTTTTTCTGCAATGACTGGCTCTGAAATGTGAGTGTGATAATGTGGTTTATTAATAGCTTATAATCTCTATTACAAAAATTTAAATAAATATCTGAATTTCCAAACATAAATTGGGTTGAACTTCAGAATGGTCATTTTAGGAGAACATTTATTTATTTCAATAATACTGTCATTTTCAAAACATATATAAATTTTTATATGGGGGTTGAATTTATAGCTAGAAAGAATTACCCCTCTAGAAGAAAATAACTATATTTCATAGTCACATAACCAGAGGGGCAGGGGAGGGGGAGTACTGGATGAAGGTGGGCAAAGAGTGGGAATTGGAGTACATCTGTAATAATGTGAACATTAAATATAAAATATTTACTTTAAAAAAGATTATATATTATACTTAAAAATAATAAAAATAAAAATGTACTCCATTGCTTGATTACCTACATTATTTTTTAAAGTTGACTGACATTTTTAAAAAATTTGTAAGTTTTTAAAAAACATTTATCTTTATTGTTGAAAGTATTATAGATGTCCCTCTTTATTCCCCACTGATGCCCTCTATCCTACTTCCTTAAGATACAGTAAAATTATGTAACAAGTTGTTTTTGAAACATTAACTGCATGAATGATTTTTAAAATTTGCTAATTCCAGATAGTTCTTAAATGTAGATGTAATTGACTTGATATAGGCTTTTGTAGGCCATTACTTTAATTTTATGTATTATAATTGAAATTTTAAATGTTTCTTTTGTCTTCTATTTTTCTAAATTAAATTCTTTCTTTTAGTTTTCTAAGCCTTTTATGTTTTAGCCTCTATTTGGTAAAAGTTTTATTTTTATAATATTTTGTGTTATTTATATAATAAACTTTAGATACATAGTTCTTTGTATCAGAGGATATTATACTACTCTTAATTTTCTTTATAGTTTTCGTACTAGCAAAGGAGTTGGCTACTCTGCTCATTTTGTTGGGAACTGTCTAATAGTCACATCACTGAAGTCCAAAGGAAAAGGTTTTCAGCACTGTGTGAAATATGATTTTCAACCACGCAAAGTAGGTATAAGTAAATATGTCTATTGAGAATGACACAATGAACCATTCCTACTGTCATAAAACTCACCTATTATGACTTCTGTAATATTCTTTTAATGGTTTTCTCATGACTTCTAATTATTTCCTCTGATCCTTGTCTGCATTCTCTTGCTAGTTTTATGTCTAATTTTTGACATAAAACATCAGGCTCTTGACCTCTTGCAATCTCTCTCCCTCCCTCTCTCTCTCTCTTTCATTCTCTCTCTCTCTCACTGTGATCTAGTCTCTTGCATTCTTTCAGATAATACTTAGAATAGTATCCCTTTACCTGCAGTTTTGCCTGCCATGGTATTAGTTACCTCCAGGCAACTGTGATCTAAAAATATTGAATGGAAAATTCCAGAAATAATTCATAAGTTTTAAATTGGGCACCATTCTGAGTAGTGTGATTATATCTGTGCCTTCCTGCTCCACCCTACCCGGAGGTGAATCATCTCTTTGTCCATGGTATCTCTGTGTATATAAGCTATCCCCCTCTAGTCATTCACTAGCCATCTTGGTTATTTGATTGGTTATCAGGTAGAGACCACATTTATATAACTTTTATTAGAGTGTATTGTTATTATTGCTCTCTTTTATTATTAGGCATATTAATCTCTCACTGTGTCTAACTTATAAAAGAGCTTTTATTATAGGTATATATGTGCTGGAAAAAATATAGATAGGAAAAAACATACTATATATAGGGTCCTATACTACCCGAGGTTTCAGGAATTCACTCGGGGTCTTGGAACATAACCCTCTCAGATAAGGGAGAATAATCTATTGAGTATTTTATTGAGTACCAGACATTGTGTAAGCACTGGGGAATATGACAGTGAATAAAACAGACAATCTCCTTGCTTTTCTGGAGTTTACAAATTGGGGGGAATTTTTATTCAGTTTCATGATAGCTTTCCACTTTTATTTTTATCTCCAGAATTCAATTCTTATATTCTTATCTACCTCTGAGATTTGCCATGTGGATATCTTTATGATTGCTCAATCTCAGATATGTAACATTGAATTTACTATTTCCAGTGCCATGTTCATTCATGTTCTTAAGTCCCATTTTGATTTTTTTTTAATAATATGAATTTTTTATTGCCTCATTTTCTCTACAAGGAAAAACTAGTGCTTCCTAAATTTGGAAGGGCCCATGAGATATTTTTTATTATAGTTTTTATAGTTGACTAGAGGCCCATGGCAGAGGCCTGGTGCACGAAATTCATGCACTCAGGGTGGGAGGGTGGGTAGGGATTCCTTCAGCCCAGCCTGTGCCCCCTTACAGTCTGGGAGCCCTGTGATCGAGCGCTCCGTCTGCTGGTGGTCTGGGCCTCCCTCTGCGGTGCGATCATGGGACAATGGCCAGGCCCCTGACCAGTTGCATCACACCTGCCTTGGCTGGCCTGGCGCCAGTGGGTGTCATAGCGTCCTCTTGCAGTCTGGGACACCTCAGGGGATGTCCGATTGCCAGCTTAGGCCTGCCACCACCACTGTACCAGCCATGAGCCTGGCTTCTGGATGAGTGGTGCTCCCCCTGTGGGAGCACCCTGACCACCAGAGAGCAGCTCCTGCCTTGAGCGTCTGCCCCCTGGGCGGCAGTGAGGGTCCCAGT